AGAAGAGTAGTCGGCGGGACCTCCAACGGCACAGGACATAGGGTTGGCTACACAAAAACATGGCATGAAAAAACACAGGTAGCACAAACACACAACAAGGAGGGAGACAGGAGAGACTAACAAGAAGTGTGACGTGAAGGGAGGACAAACAAACAATGAACCGACACCGAACACAGGAAGAGACAAGACTAAATACAGGGAGGGGTAATCACGAGACGAGAAACAGCCGGGCAGGGAAGGAGAAACACAAGGGCAACAGGTAAACACAATTAGACACACCAGGGAAACTAACGACAGGGAGGAAAACACAGGGAGAAGGACCAGACAAGAAACAAGGAGGAAAATATGACGGGGAGAACAGAAAAGCAAAATAACCCCACAACGAGACACAACAAAACTCAAACCCTGACATAACCCCCCGTCAAGGGACGGATTCCAGACGTCCCTAAATAAAGTCCAACACTTCCAACTGGGTGGGTGAAGGGGGTCCGGAGGACGGGTCTGGGTCAACAGCCCAGGAAAGGCATAGTTCATTGAGGGGTTCTCGGGCGGACGGCCCGGGAGCAAGGCAGGGGGCAAGGCAGAGTTTGAGGAGGAGGTCTCAGGCGGACGGCCCGGGGGCAAGGCAGAGTTCATTAAGGGGCGAAGGCCACAGCGGGCGAACTCAGGGGGCCGAGCATGAGGGCGAAGGCAGCGGCTGGAAGAGTCAGTTAGGACGGGCCCGAGGGCGAGGGCCGCGGCTGGGGAACTCCGGAGGACGGGCAGGTAGGCGCTGACGGGACAGCTCCGGAGGACGGGCAGGACCCGGTGTCGGCCGGACAGGAACCGGAGCCGGTGGGACTGGCGTAGACGGGATCCTGGACATGACATGGGCTGGTGTCAATGGGACCCCGGATGGAGCAAGGGCTAGTGTCGATTGGACCACCAACGCAACAGGGCAAGGAGTAGGCAGGACCCCCGGCGGGACAGGTGTCGGCAGGATCCCCCACGGAAGAGGACAAGGAGTTGGCAGGACCCTCGGCGAGACAGGTGACGGCGGGACCTCCAATGGAACAGGACATGGGGTTGGCAGGACCCCCGGCAGAAGAGTTGTCGGCGGGGCCTCCAACGGCACAGGAGATAGGGTTGGCAGGACCCCCGACGGGACAGGACATAGGGTTGGCAGGACCCCCGGCAGAAGAGTAGTCGGCGGGACCCCCAACAGGACAGGACATGGAGTTGGCAGGACCCCCAGCAGAAGAGTAGTTGGCGAGACACGAGAGGTGACTCGAGAGGGGACTTGAAAGGAGACTCGAGAGGGAACTCGAGAGGTGACTTGAGAGGGGACTCAAGAGGGAACTTGAGCGGGGACTCGAGAAGGAACTTGAGAGGTGACTTGAGAGGGGACTCGAGAAGAGACTCGAGAGGGGACCTAAGAGCGAACACGAGAGGAGACTTGAGACGGTCGGTTCGCCGACAGAACACGGGGGGCTGGAGTCGGCCGGAATGCCGACAGGACACGGGGAGCTGGCATCGGCCGGTACGCCGACAGGACATGGGGAGCTGGCGTAGACCGGAGAGCCATGAGGAGACGAGGGGCTGGAGTCGGCCGGTAAGCCGACAGGACACGGGGAGCTGGCGTCGGCCGGAGAGCCAGTACTGGAGCCGAAACCATGGCTGCTGGGGCCGGTTCTGGAGCCGGAACCATGGCTGTGTAAGCCAGGTAATGGAGCACGGAAGCATGGTTATGTGGGCCGGTGCTGGTGCACGGATCCATGGCTTGGTGGGCCGGTTCTGGAGCCGGAACCATGGCTGCTGCGGCCAGAACTGAGGCCGGAACCATGGCTGCTGGGGCCAGGACTGAGGCTGGAACCATGGCTGCTGGGGCCGGAACTGGGGCCGGAACCATGGCTGTATTGGCCGGTTCTGGAGCCGGAAACATGGCTGTGTGGGCCGGCACTGGAACCGGAACCACTGGAGCATGGGCTGGAATCTTGGTCTTGCGTCTCCAAGAGATTCTTTGGGGGATCCGTGGGCCTCCCAAGGCCTGGTCATACCCCAGGAAAGGGTTGGAGGCTTCGGACAAGTCCTCAGGACAACTTGTGAAAAGTTGTAGCCACTCGGGCAACATGCTCCTGAGCCAGGGCTTGCGAGCAACCTCCTGACGTGCCTCCTTCAACGCAGCCTCTCTACCCCGTCTAGATGAAGCGCCATTCCAAGTATAAAAAGTACTCCAGAGAGTACCCAAGACATTCCGCCTGTAGAGCAAAATAATCAGAGTCTGCTGAGTCCAAAGTTGGTCGGTTCATTCTGTTACGGTTTGGGAAAGGTAGGACCCAAAATCAGACTACAAAAAAAGGTAGGTTGGTCTAGAAAACAAAAAGCGAGCTTTATTGCAAAGCTGATCACAAAAACATGGCATGAATCAAACGGTAGCTCAGGAAAACAATAACATAAAAACTGACC